GGTATCAGGAGCAAGTTTGACCATGAGAGTGACCAGTGATCCTTCTGAACTTCGTTCCATCACGCGTGAGCTTCAGAAGGGTCACTAAAATGCTTTGCTACGGTTCGTGCTTTTTCTGTTGAATATGGTCCTCTCTTCCCAGATTGACTGAACATGAGTCTTTGTGGGAATCGCTCGTCTTATGAACGAATTCTTCCAGTAAAAACTGATCGCCATCGCTTGTAGGATCAACTTTTCTGTACTGTATGAAACACGTGGATTAAAAACCTCCCTTTTCCCTTGTTTGAGGATGTCTAAAGCATGGTTTCAGATGTGCAGTGGAACCGGGACGTGCTCTCGACGACAGTGGAAGGGAGGAAATCGAAGAAGTCGAATGTAATTATTACAGAAATTTCAGCAGTTCGTAAAATCGAGAATTTTCTGTTTAGTCCAGCATCGACAGCGACATCAGCAACGATGACTACGTCCCTCAAGGCGGTTTATCTCAAGGAATCTCCTCAACAATTGAGGTAAGTGAAACCCTCTGAAATGTGTCGTGTATGTGAGTAAACCTCAGTAGACCAATGCTTAGGCCTCCACTTCAAGTATCAAGCCGAAAACAGACAACGATGCAGGCTTCAAACCGATCCAAAAAGATGGCAACGTAGGTTTCCTACATGGCGTCTTTCTACTATTGTCTGTAGCATTTCTTTGTTTACTTGTCTTTTCAAAGTTGTTCATCTTCCATTTCATCAAGAGGCCATTGAGTGAGACAGTGAGTTTCAGGTTTTTTCACATAATAGTTTCATGAAAGACATTGGATCGCGGATCGTGTTCGACATTTCGCCTATAATGGCCAAGCTAAGAAATGTTCTTTCAGAGGTAAGAAAGCTATTAGGAACAAGCGAGCAATCAATCAATTGCCTTGGAATACGCCTCGCACTAGATTTCCTCTTGAAATCGCAGTGGCGTTTGAATGTGTGTGGCCTATATAATGACTTGTGGTAGCCAGTCGATGTACATACCAGTGCTTTCATCCACCCAGAGGAGTCTACCATCATTAGTCTACCTCGAAGAGATGGAGATTCTTGTTGGCTTGAACGGGTTTCGATCAGAAAGCTATCTTCGGCCATGCCTGTGTGAGTGAGCCCACTATGTACTGCACCACCTCCACCTCTACAAATTCCCTATCATCCCTTTTTGATTATTAGCTGAATAAGACGAGCTCTGAGGAAGAAAGCCCACATTCGCTCTAACGCTTCATTAAGTGCTGCTATTGTTCATCCAAACTTACAGAACCTCGGAACTGTTATTATCGTAATTTTTTTAAGAACTTTAGTGATTTTCAGTTTAAAGCCGATAAAAGTGCTCCCGATGAGCCGCTCATGCGTATGCAACATGCTCTAATACGACATCGAAGAACTCAACGAAGTGCAGCAGATCTTAAGGTGAGTTAGAGCTCACATTCAGTTCTACCGGTAATGGTAACTGCCGCTACCAAAGTAGATCGAATTCGGTAACTACTTAGCACAGCGCTACTTAGGTTGTACAGCTCCACTACTTACGGATGAGCAACTAAGTGACTTTGATGTCTCATTCTGCCTCAGCATTATGTTCAGAAGGTTAATTCGTTGAGTATGGCGGATATGATGATGTTCTGGGAAGTTCAAGTCTATGCCATAGCCGAATGGATGATGTACTGCGAAGAATTTGCTGAACTTCCTCTTGAACAGAAGGCTTGTCGTTCTCATATTTTTTCCTCATTGCAATACTCTTCATGGTCCCCCCTACCTCTTCTACCTCAACCACTCTTCAGGTGATAATCTTCAAAAATGCTTGGATGATATGGCGACGATTCGAACGGATCACAATGTCAGTGGAGCTGTTCGGATGGCGAGCATTACATGAGAAAGTAAGGAATCATCTACATTCTAGAAATAGGACTCAGTGAATTAAAAATTTTGAATTTTAAAGTTGTGACTTTGAGGTTATTATTTGAAATGATTTTTTTTTGCAAAACTGGGCAGAACTTTTTATCGAAGGGTGGATATGTTAGCTCCTAAACCCTTCAAAGTAGCCCCTCAGAGAAGATGTCACCCAATATCACATTGTATCAATTGTATTTGTCACTTTACCTGGAGCGGAGATCAATTAGCCCAGAAGGGGAAGCGCTCATTTTTGCCGGTGTTCGTTTCGGTTCGGTGGGGTACTATCATGTACTGTAGTGATATGGTCTGGAATCAGTCTGCTACCATCACGTCCGTGCGGCAGAATCAGTTACTGGATTGCATCAGCCGCATAGATCGATGAAGACAATAATGAAGTAGAGTTAACTGTAACTGGGAAATAGTGACGCTATCAATCCCTAGAAATCTAGAAAATGTTACGGATGACAGAGTTTCAACCATGTACTGTATTCTTCTACTTTACTCTCAAAAGCAGTGCATGGGTAGGTGGGGCGTGCACTAAGAATAGATATTGATCAATGCCGAAGTGTCGGAAGTCAGAGTGAGAGCACAGAAGTTGAATGACTTTTTTTCCTTGTAAGAGGAAAGAAACTGGGAATCAGTAATCATAGTTACTCAGATGTACTCGTTAACGGATGAAGTTGCCATCAAGATGGATTCGTTGAAGTTCGACGTTTCTCTGTTCACTGACTACGATCCAGAGTACATATACAGGTTTCTACTGTTCCTACTATGCCCCCAAATATAAAATAAAATAAAAATAAAATAAACTAAAATAAATATCTTGGAATAATGGAATAATGAAAGAGAAGAATGGTTTAGGATGCTCCAGCCATTCTCTGGCCGCCTACTGGATGAAGTCACCAAGTCCTGTCTTGAGATCTCTTTAGATCCAATTGAGATCGTCTACATCCTGTGTACTTTGGTATGGCATGTGGACGGTAAGCAAAAGGAAATTTACTAGTTTGAAATAATACAAATTGAGAACGATGGTTACGTAGTGCGCAGACGTACTGGATCGTACTGGATCCATCTGGATCGAGTCCTGCTACCTTCCCATCTACCGTACTGGTTTGGGTCCGTATCCACTTGATTCCCACTCGGTGAGACAAAAAAGTGGGAAAAGAGGACAATTTTTGGAACAGTGTGGGGCTCCCTTGATTAACTAACGGTTAGCCACAAGTATCTCAGCAGTGGCTTCCTAGTTTCTGGTCCTGGGACTAAATCCAATGAAAAGAATTTTTGCTCATAGTACCATCATTTTTCCTGATTCGAATTTGATAAAAACTCCGCCTCCCAAGTTTTTCTGACAGTTTAGGTAAGCCAGTGAGTCGAGAGACCCAGATAGTGGCGGAAAATTATTTGGAACGAATTTCTGATAGTCTACATAATTACTATACAAACGTCACAAAAACTCCTAATTATGCTGGTCGTCTTATCAAGATAATGTCTATAGCGCATTGCATAGAGGTGAGTCTGATTCTTCTGATCTTGTAGAGAAGCCCATGCCCATCGGCACCCTGAAAGCCCGCTTGGACCCTTAGTCTTTCTTTTTCATCATAATCTTCTCGAGTAATTTCTTTTTCAGAATATTCACTACGAACGCTCAAAAGTAATGGAATTGGCGAAAATATTTGACGTTTTCAAAGTTGAGCTCTCCGAAAAAGGGCTTTTCGACTGCTGAAGTCAGGTGACTGAGAAACTCAACATGGAAACCAGAAGGCTATTCGTTGAATGTAACACAAAATAGATTCAAAAAAAAGGCTCACACTTATGCACATTCACATTACCTGGAGGCTGTTCAATTTATTTCATCTTAAAAGCTATACTATTTTTCTGGAACCGTTACCTTCCTTGTAATTGTATAAATTAAAGATGATTATGATCATTGTGAAAGAAAAAGATGAATAGAAAGAAAGTTTTTTGTCTCATAACTCAAGGCACCGGACACCAAGTACCGTTAGAGCATGAGGAACAAGTATTTTGGCGCCGATCAATCCCATATTGGGATGCGCCACGCACTGAACTTCCATCCAGTGTTGTAGTAGTTTTTCGAATGTGATGTGCATGTGACCTGCACAATGAACAGCCGGTTGGGCTCCTATTCCTCTAAACCAGGCTGGTTCGTGAACTGCTATCACTTGCATAATCTCTGGTCAGTGAACTGGTTTTACCTACATAATCAAGCTACTGTAGATGACTTTTTATTATGTCAATTAGGGAATGTTGGTCCTCAAATTGGTTTTATAGGGATTAAGGTTCATAAAGCAGAATGGATGATTTTCCTGAACTTTCCCTGACATATATTTTCATGAGCTCATTAATTATGAACAAACCGAAAATTAGGAGCCTTTGCGATTTTTGGAGATTTGAGATCTTTTGGAGTTGTTATTTCTGGCGTACAAGTTTCAGCTGCTGCAACGCTGTCTAGAAAAGCAGCTTACCCATCTCTCCTCTTCAAGCTAGTACCTTACAGTAGTTTAATATGGGGTTCCAATTTAGCAAGTAGGTCCTTTCTTCTACCCCTGACCTTCATACAAACACGACATTTTCAATTGTTTTGCTTTTGGTAAATGCACAAATTGAAATATTTACATAACTTCACTGGGAAAACATCTTATATGTAGCTATTTTCGAATTCGGACGAGTTCTACGATGTTGATGGAATATCGATTTCTGATTTCAGCTGATCCACGATTGCTCGGCGAGCTGCTATGACGTCATCGGCACCACCGCGGCTCCCTCGCATCAGTCCCCTGGCAGCTCTGGCTGTACGAGGGCGTTCTTGAGCAGCGCGCTGACTGACCTCCTAGAAAACCAGCAGTACCCTTACTTGAATGCAGTGGACACCATGAGCTCATAGCTGGACTAATTCACCTAAGCTATTGAAACCACAACAAAATAATAAAAAATAAAAACAAAAACAAATGAAAAGTACTCGTTGAATAGTCAGAACTGTCAGTTTAAGTTTAAGTTACGAGTTTTAACTGGAAAATCGCTTACGTTCAACTGTTTTTCGCGTTCGTTAGTTTTCATGGCGAGGAGACGATCCCGTTGCATGCGAAGGTATTCTGCTCGGCTACGAATAGCCGCAGAGTTAAGCCGATTCGGTTCTTGAAGTAGGGCCTTAAAAGTGAAGGCTCAAATGTTCAATAACGAGTTTACGATTCTTGCCTGGGCAAGTAGGGATTCCTACGACTACGCCTCTCAGATGAAGAAGATCATCCTACAGGCGTACCCCTACCTCACTTGCCCATAAGTGAATGTTTTTCTTCCTTGAACTTGCAATGACCATATCATCGACCCTGGGACTTCGTGGGTGACATAGCTTTGAGAAGAACAGTGCTCACATTACAAGTTTAACGGGGACCAATGGAGCAAAACGGATTCCTGGACGAGATATTTGAAACTATACTTGTGCTTCCGCCAGGACACCATACAGTTACCCTTCACCTCACCAACAACCAGTTGGTCTTTACTTTCCAGCGGCATTCCAAATGAACAACTCACATTGACATCGTAGATGTTCTTCCCGCGAGGTCCATACATCACTCCGTCTTCGTCCAGTTCTTCGTTCTTTTTCTCAGCACCCACATTGGCGTTGTTTTCTTCTTTCCGTTTTCGCGCTTCTGTGGAAGGCTGAAATACAACCCTGAAGGTCAAGTGTCATGAGGGTGGAACGATTATCCCACTTACCCGCCTCACTTTTGCACTTTTTGGTACTGCTCTTTCACCTTCACCGCTGCCGCCACCAGTACCGCCACCAGCACCACCACCAGTACCACCACCAGTGCCACCACCAGTGCCACCACTTGGAGCGTTCGCCCGTTTTGCTGTTGGAGGACGTGCACCGCCTCTACTAAATAAAACAATCTGCCTGATTGACAGAAAAGTGGGGAAAACTTTCTCAACTCACCTTCTTGGTGGCGTCTTATCGGGAGGAACTGATGGCTTCGGAGTCGGAGGTTTCTCACTGACACTTGGACGTCGCTCCTTTTCTGTAGCTGATGGAGTCCTCGCTGCTGGCATGCTCTCTCGTCGATCCTTCTTGGCTGTAGCTGCTCTGACTGGTTTGGAGTCTGTGCCGGTAGATGTAGCTGTTTCGGATTCACCAGCGGCCTTGGATGACGTTCTTTCGGGGCCAGCAACGGCCTTGGACGGCGTTTCATCGGAGCTCAAACCTGCCGAATCTGGTTTCTTCTGTTCTGGTGACGTCGTCGCCTCTACACTGGGAGCTGATGCGACATTCGAGGCCTCTTGCTTCGGATTGAGCCTTTCGACCTTGAGGAATAAGAAAATAGAGTTTCTACAAATACATCTTCACAACTTCATTTTTGGAATGTAATTCATTGATGTGAGGATACGAAATAAAGTTTTTGACGTTATTCAATCCCATTTTCGAAGTACGTTCCCCACAGCCGACTTCATTTCTTGATCATAGTGATGCATGGAATGCATGCGTAAGCATGTGCGTACATCCCATATAGTGACTAGTGATGGCCAGCTAATGCATAATGCAGTGTTTCAATTCTCCCAGAAGAGAATGGTACCAATTAACCTACCCCTGAGGGATGAACGAATCGGTTAGTCCATGCGAGTATCGATCCGGACTTCGATCCCGAACTATGGGCTTGTACGCTACAAACCACTATACACTTCAGCAGACCACACGTACTCCACAAGCCTCTACACCACTCAAGCCCAAACAGATTACTCGACGCTTATGGTAATTCATTACTAGTCTGGCTAACTAAGAAACAAGGAAAAGCAAAAGCACCAACTTCATAGCCGATCTATCAGGTACAGTGTTCTGATTTCGATTTTTGAAGCCATGCCCAACATTATAAACGTCAACAAAGTGTGTATAAAATGCGCACCCCGTTTGCTGCAGCCAAAGCCCGACTGTAAAGTTCTTGTTCTTTCCCACGTTCCATTTCTAGCCGCTTTCGTTCTTCTTCACTACTACGTAGTACATCTTCTAATTCTTCCATTTCTTTTCGACTGAGATTATCGAACTCTTCCTTGCTCTGTCTGAAAAAAATTTCCCATTTATTTCTTAGATCATTCGAAATCCACAGTACTCAGAAATGAATAGGCCCACCTCATCACCGCAATAAGGACGTATCTCTCAGTTTCTTCCGGTGAAACTACTCTCGCTTTATTCTTAAAAGTCTCACCATCTTCGATTTGCAATACAGACGGAAGCAGTCCGCACATAAACTGAAAAAGGGCTCCATGGAAGTTTATAGGACTAAGGATAAGAAACCGACCAAGCCCACCCACCTCGATCATTTGGAGAGCCTGAAGCTGCAGTTCCACATTCTTTCTCATCATCATCGGTACGAATACATTGAAGTCTTTAGCGGCAGCCAAGGGTTCGAGGCTTGTCTATAAAGACGAATGTACTCCAAAGAAGGCTGCACCTCTGCGCTCTGTTGTTTATAATTTAAAGTGAATAACACAACATAAACAAACAAATAAATAAACAAGTTATATTCTGAGGTTCTATTGTCATCCATTATTAATGTCTTATAACAAGACTGCTCGTCTAGAATCGAGCATTCTACGAATAAAGTGCCATTTTAGCTGCGCTGCGAGCCATTTTCTAACAATCTCAAGGTCATGGTAACAAGTGAGAACTAAAAGCGAATGAAAACCTAACCTGATTTTGTAAAAATAAAAAAAAATATGTAATGCGTACCCTTTGTCGAACAGTAAGTTTGTCAGGTTCGGCTGATTTTAGAGCGTCGTGAAGGCTTTTCAGTGGAATATTGGTGTCAGCACAGAAACATTCCACGAGTGTATCGACCAATTCGATAAACTCCTTGTGAATTTGTTCATACAGTTCGACATTCCCTTGTTGGCGATCAAATACTAAAATGACTCTTCACTACTTAAAAATATTTGATGATATTGATTATATTCTAATCCATGAAAGATAAGGATGAATATTCCCTTCATGAAAGGTTTTTGTAAAGAAACTTTTCAAATATGACCTTTTAATCTTAGAAAAGACGAGTTCCAATATTTTGTAAAATGCTAGTATGACATTTTAGCCTTTTCTCTGGCGCGTGGAAGTTTAATCATCGTAAACCGCGGGATTTCGGCAAAAAATCAGGGTGTCCATAAGGTTCGTTGGCCATTTGTAAACAGCGTCGCGCTACGCAACGCGTTGTGATTTAATGATTCCGCAATATTGAAGGTACTCGCGATGGGCTATCCTCTGAGCTAGCTAGCTCTAAATTCCCTTTCCTGCTCTTCCCACAATAAAGCAGTGAAGATGAGTGATAGTNCCACCCACCGCCGATGTTTGCTGGACTACTACAACCTGGGTATCTCCAGACGTCAGGCCACGACCAGGATGCGTCAGCAGTTTGGTGGTGACACCCCTTCTAAGAACTGGATGTCAAAATGGTGGACTCGCTTCACCAATGGAAACTATGGCATCGAGGATATGCCGAGGTCCGGTCGCCTAGCCACCGTCGATCGACAAGGCATTCTGGATGCCCTGGACGATGAACCGACGTCGTCCTTGCACAACTTAGGCAAGATCACACAGGCACCTCGTTCTACCACCCACGAAGTCCTTATTGAACCTGGCAAGGTATCGAAAAAGCGTCGAGTTGTCCCTCACGACCTCAGGCAAGGAAGCGGGTTGAGGTGTGCTCCGACAACCTCAGACTCAGAGGCCTGAGAAAGATTTTGGACTACCTCATTTGCCAAGGTGAGAAGTGGGTCTACTAATCTAATCCTGTCAACAAATCAGTCTGGGTGGATTTCGATGCGCCTCCGCCAAGCCGTGCAAAGAGAAATATGCATGGAAAGGAGCGCCTTCTGTCATTCCGGTTCTCTCGCCACGGCGTCGTCCACTACAGCATCCCACAAAACAATGCCACAGTGACGGCAGAGACCCTCGCTAAAGAACTGCAGGACGTCAAGGTGAAAGCTGCGTCTTGTCCCAGAAACTTGCAAATCCGTGGTTGCTCTGGGGCAACGCACGCCCCCACAAAGCGAGAGATACTCAGGCCGTCCTGGGCAGGCTGGACATCAAGACGGCCACGCATNTTCATGCAAAATTTCTTTGACGGAAAACAGCGAAGAACGAGCGCGACTTCGAGGACGGAACGAGGACTGGGCCGAGTCGCGGCCGGCCGGTTTCTGGGAGGATGGAGTTGCCTCTCTTTCTGATCGTTGGCGAAAGGTGGTGGGTATGCATGGAGATCATATCACGGATCAGTAAGTTCAACTTGGTTAGTTATCTTTACAAGCTCTGAAAAAACGAATGGCAAACGAACTTTATGACACCCTGGTAACTCATTAAAGGGAAGAGGTAGGAGCAGGAGAGGGTCCGAGGTAATTCAATATAGTACAAAGAAGTGAAATTAAAGCTTAAAAATATTACAATTGGGAGCCGGACGAGAATGTTGGGCAAAAACCTGCACAAAATGGTTACCTGGACGAGCTGTCCTACTGTGTGTGACATTACGTATAGCTGGCTAAGTAAGCTGCCTGTGTGCAATGTGTGCGTCCCGATGCGCATGGTGCAACCTCTACGGCGTCTACAACACCTAGGACTTCGGACTTGTGCTTCGGCTAAGCCAGTTTTTGGGTCTTTACTATTCCCTAGGCCTTCTCTAGGCCTTCTTGAAAGCCACAGTGCCTCTTGTGCTGTCCTTTGAGGTCACAGCTTAACCCCAAGTAAAATCTCAGGAGAGTAAAAAACCCTAAAAAGAAAATTTTTTACAGTTAACTGCACTTTTGAATAAAAAAGCTACAATTTTTAGGGGTTGTCTTTATATTCCTTTTCGAGATTTTTTTCTCTGTACTTTTGCACTCACACCTATCATTCTATTATATCTGTCATTACAATAACTGTTATAGTTGAGACAAAAATTCCCTCTTCTCACATGACAGGCAGCCAATTCGCCCCAGAGCAGATCTCATTATTACTAGGAATGTTTTTTTCTGCTGTGAGCTTATATCATTACCAATATACCCACGTTATAGGCATATACCTTATTCGAGTAAAAATAGGCTAATGTCGGTGGTACTCGATTCTTGGAAGAATAGGTGCTCCAGTGAAATTCTATCGCTTCACATGAAAACATTCAGTACCCTTTTTCAGGGACGGATGTTCAAATGATCGAAGAGCGAGGTGATTTAACCTTAGGCTGTTTCTTAAATGGTTTCAGACCCACCCGAGATTTCCACCTATGGAGGCCCTGAGAACTTACTTGCTTGATAAAATCGTACAGTATCAGAAAAACAAATTACTCACCTCTTCAAAAAAAGTATCTGCAATCCTTTACTCTCGTGGGGCAATGCAGTGCCTCCACAGCGTGTATATATGGCCTTTACATCAATTTCCCTACGTCAATGAAACCGTTCGTAGTAGGCTCCCGCACACGAAAGCTCTTTGAGAAAATAAAAACCCTAGGTTTTATATCAACAGGTGCCATTACGTAGACACCATAAAAGGTAACCACGTACATAGGTAGTCTATTAATTCTTGTGTACATTTACAAAAATTTATGTAGTGCTCAAACCTATTTCTAAAGCCTGGCAATAATTTTTCCGAGAAGCGTGAAACGCAAGAAACTGGATTTATTAATTGATATATAACAAAAATAAAAAGATGAAATTATCAGGTTTCAATCAATCCCGCCTGAGGGATGCGCCCCGCACTCGACTTCCATTCGGAATCGTGGTGGCGTAA